TCTTATCTTCCTAGCCAAGACCACATGGGGAAAAACACACCACCTTAGTGTCTAGACACTAGTCTTTGAACTTGACTCCTTAGAACATTGTCACTCTACTCCACTTAATGGGATATTGATTTTTTATACTTCACTCTCTGCAAATCAATATTCTAATAGACACACAATAGACTGGCAGAAGGATAGAGAGTACATGCCCATGAACCTGATGGAGATGATTATCCAGAAATGAAGGTCAAATCAAAGGAAAATTTAAACCTGACATGAGAAGAAGAGCGGCACAAAGAGAAGAGTCTGTAAGCAAGGGAATTAAAAAAAAAAAAAAAGTATCCAAGATTAATTAGAGAAGGAAGAAGACACGACCTAAAGACAGCATGGATAAGGCAGCTAACAAACTCTTAACCTGGGAATGATAGACTGAAATCCCTTTGGACTGCCTGCAGTCAATGCCACAATTTAAGAAGCACTTTAGGTCTCCTGCAGGAAACATCTCCAGTATATTACAGAGGAGAACCTGACAAGAGAAGAAAAGGGGCACAAAAAAGAAGAGTTGTAAGCAAAGGGAATTAAAAAAAAAAAAAAGTATCCAAGATTAATTAGAGAAGGAAGAAGACACGACCTAAAGACAGCATGGATAAGGCAGCTAACAAACTCTTAACCTGGGAATGATAGACTGAAATCCCTTTGGACTGCCTGCAGTCAATGCCACAATTTAAGAAGCACTTTAGGTCTCCTGCAGGAAACATCTCCAGTATATTACAGAGGAGATGTACTTCCTTTTAAAGTAAAATCGCAAGTTTAAATATCTGAGAACTATCTGAATAGCCTATTCAGAACAAAGTCAGACAGAAACCACGTGCAACGTAAAATAAAATACTTAAAAGGAATGCCTTATTTTTCCACAGTTCGGTTCTGTAGGAAACCAGGAAGCCGAAGAGAGCCTTCAAACAGGCTCTTTTAGCAAAAGGCCTTCTTCTGATCACGTCTTTCTGGTGCAGGCAGCGAACAACTTTTTATGCTATGGAATTTAAAGTGGCCATCTTGCATGGCCTATTAACTTGCTGGTGTAAATTAAGGCAAGCTTGAGACAGAAAATACTCCAATGGTCCAGACAAACAGAAGACCAGTGCAAGAGTATTCCTGGGGCAGAGTATCCCCATACACCAGTGGACTGGGAACTGACCGAGTGTCAGTCCCACTGAAAACCACCTCAGGGGTTACAATGGAAGCCAAGCTGCAAATACACATGAAGTACACTCTCTCTGCAAATAAGGCAAACTTACCAGGCTACGCAAGGGGGAGCACAGATCCAGGGAAGTTATAAATACTCTCCACTTGGCATGATGAGGTAGCAATGCAAGCTGTGGCCAGTTGTGGGCTCTCCAGCTCAAAAGACAGGTAGAAAAACTGGAGATGATCCAGCAAAAGACTTCCACGATGGGCAGGAGACTAAGCATATGACCAATAAGAAAAGTTTGAGGGACATATGCTTGTTTATTCCAGCAAGGGGGACACTATGGGGTAATCTAAAGCAATGCTATGAAGAGTAATTACGAAAATGATAGTCAAACTCCTCTCAGTAGTGATAAATAAGGTATTAATAAGGCAAAAAACTTGCATCTAGGGAAGTTCAGGTTTGACATTTTGCAAAAAAACCTTTCACTGGGAGGCTGGTACAGCCCTGAAACCGATACCCAGAGAGGCTGCGAAATCCCAGGCCTTGAGAGTTTTCCAGAGGTCAGCTCAAGAAAGCCACGACTGACCTGATCGAGTACTGGCAACACTCCCAGTTGAAGAAAGGGTTGCACCACATCACCAGAGTTCCCTTCCAACCAACAGTACTGATGATGACACTACAAATACATGAAATCACTGTATTATGCATTAATAACTTGAGATTTCTTAGCTTCCACCACATTGACATTAGAAAGAAATCTCTTTAAAAAAGCTTCCTTGATTCTAGGGTCTTCTGCCTACCAGAAAAGACAAGAAGCTTTATATCTACTTTTTTCTAGACTAGGATTATGTCCAGTTTCCTGAGCACAGCTCCGTTACTTGCAGTCTGATGAGTCATAGGTTCACACACGCTCCTGAGCTCCACCACCTTGTTAAAATATAGAATATCAGCCACAAAAATCCAGTGAAGTGACATGAAGACAGTTCTCAAATGAACTCACTGTTCCAGGCACAGTTAACCTTCCAAACTCCAATTATCAGATGAATATTAAGAAATGTGAGAAACTGCAGAGAACAGTCATAAAAACAACTAATGAGCAGAAAGCATTATTTATATAGGCAGAAAAAGCAACAGCTATATGCATGCAACGTATCAAAGAAAAATTATTCATATAGTCTCATCCTAGAGTGTTGCAAAAGAAATTCACAGCTGCACCAGGTGCCTTAGTTCAGCAACACAAAGTTCACATACAGTTCACTCTTTCAGCTCCGTTTTAAGCTTTCTTGCAAGAATTTTACATAACAAATTAAAATGAGCTTTCATCAATTTTTCACCCAACTGGGACATCTCAATAGTTCAACCCATTCATAGTTCAATACAATAGAAGCCCTGGGTGGGAGAAGGAGGAGGAGGAAAACACTGGATTTTCCATGACCTTTTGCTGATTTCCAAAACCCTGTCATGTAAGCAATCTGTTTCTTTTACTACAGAGTAATGACTCATTACTTCTGTCATTTAAAAATGGAAAAGAATTCCATCTGGCACTAAGGATTAGCAGCCAAATTATGTGTGTCTTGATCTAAAGGTCGATTTGGTAATAACAGAAAGCCCTAAACTACAAAAACAAAGTGTATTTTAATATCTGCAATCATTCAACATTTCAGCATCCACCTTATAAAACTGATCTACCACCTTCCCCACAACGAGAAGCACTCACAGGATGAAAGCATCAACCCCAAGAAGGCAGGGCTCAGAGGCATCCATGGGAAGCGCTGTACTGCTGCTTGGGTGGACAAACCAAGAGTGACAGGCTGTGCGTATTTAAAGCCTTCCACCATTTTCATTCCATTCAGTTATGAAGTGCTGATACTACAGGTACATTTCCTTTACATTCACAGCAGCATACATTGATCCAAGCTTCAAACTGATCCAAGTACTCCCCAAAATTCTACTGGCCAGATATTGGGAGGCACTGACCTCCCAGAAGTTCCTCTTCCATACCTCTGTAAGAGAAGGCTCTTACAGGCTGAGTGCAATCCTGAACAACCCCGTTCATTATCTTTCTATCAATTCTGCTATCCCCATTAACTGTCAACCCACAAACACAGACTTCACTGTCCAATCTCACCTGTACCTCTCCTGGTGTTGGTCAACTTCTCTTCACAGGCCGGAGGAAAGGGACACAATAGGTGAAGACTCTTTCCATTTCCTGAATGTCACAGAAAAAGGGATCAGAAAAGTCACGTCAGTAACCACCGCACAGAAAGAGAGACACAAATAATCCCTGTGCCCCTCTGACAAGGTACTTCTGTCTCCTAAGTCTGAGGAGCTCATGTCTGGAGGTGATAACTGATTTCAAACGGAAAACACATGGCTCACGCAAAGGAAAAAGGAGATGAAAAGATGGCAAGAGCTCCCGCAACCTTAGGCCCCAAAACAACTGGCCCAAGGGGCAAATGGAAAAGCTAGTGGAACCACCAGCACCCAAAGAACACAAGTGTGACTCCTTTTGCCTAGCCACAGCTGTTTGCTGTTCAGAGAAAAGACTGGGTGAGACCAATTGTGACTGCTCTCAGCTTATCACGCTGCACAAAACCAATTTTGTCATGATTGCTTTAGAACATCATGTGTAGCACTCGCAAGGCCTCCCAGATCAAGCCAGAGCTTGGTTCCATGGGTTCCTATCTCCCTTCACCCAGAAAACGAATTTGACTGAATTATCTCCTGACAAAGTAGCCAAGGCAAAGATCAGGGCCTTCTTGCTCTGGTGTCCTGTATGTATAAAACCTGCCAAATCTTTTTCCGTCCCCAGACAAAAGGAGGTAGCCGCTGCCGCCGCTGCCCAGCTGCACCTGGCAGAATTTCTGTGCCTTGTAACATCTGAACACAAGGCTCCCCACCCACATTACAAAACACATTAAATTATTTAAAAACCAAAAATATAAAAGGTTAACTAAAAATATAAACCAGCCAGGAAGAATTAAAAAAAAAAACAAACAAACCAACCAACCAAACAAAAAAACCAAACTCTAATACCTTCAAAATATGCAAGGATTTACAGCCACATGAAGAATTTCAACAACTCAGTAGTTTGTAATTAACATTTTAAATTACTCGGTTTTGAGTACTTCCACATCACAGAAAGCCACACCGGTTTCTGGAGGGGCAGCCCCATCGCAAGGGGCAACCCACGGCGGCAGCCCCCCCGCCCCCCCCACCCCCCGCCCAAGGCAGCCCCCCCCCCC